TGGCTCTGTGCCTCCTCCCAGCTAGTGTGAGCCGCCACTTGGCCACGTGGGGGAGAGAGCGGAGGGTGGTCACCTCCCAGACACTGCCTGCACAGCCCTGGCCCAGCCCCCTGTGGCCTCACCCTTCCTCCTTCTGAGTTCATGGGAAGCCAGGAGCACCCGCTTCCAGGTACAGACAGATCACAGCCCATGTTTCCTGTAGTGACTACATTCTTACCATGTCCAGGCAACACTCAGGGCACTGGGGACACAAAGGTGATTAAACCTGGCCACAGGCTTTTGGGAGACACAGAGCGCTCTGAGGACACTCTCCTTTCCACCTGCTGCCCTGAGGACACTTCCCTTTCCACCTGACACCGTAAGGACACTCTCCTTCCCACCAGACACCGTGAGGACACGCGCCTTTCCACCTGACACCGTGAGGACACGCCCCTTTCCACCTGACACTGTGAGGACACACGCCCCTTTCCACCTGACACTGTGAGGACATTTCCCTTTCCACCTGACACCGTGAGGACACGCCCCTTTCCACCTGACACTGTGAGGACACGCCCCTTTCCACCTGACACTGTGAGGACGCTCCCCTTTCCACCTGCTGCTCTGTGTCCAGCACTGAGACACAGATGCAGAGGAACCTGGGAAAACGTGCCTCCCCAAATGCTCACACCCAAATTACAGGTGTGAGCCACTGTACCCAGCCTGAATTATCCTTTTTTGATATATATTGTTGGATTTGATTTGCTACAATTCTTTTTAGAATTTTTGTATTGTTTTCATGAGGAATGTCTGTGTAATTTTCTTTTCCTTTAATACTCAGTCTAGTTTTGGTATTAGTGTAATGCTCCCTCATAGAATAAGTTGGGAGAGAGTCCCCTTCTTTATATTTTTCTAGAAGATTTTATGTACAATTAGAATTATTTCTTCCTTAAATATCTGGTAGAATTCAACACTAACACCATCTCTGTTCTTGGTTTCAATGGTGGGAAGGTTTCCAAGTATAAATTTATTTTTTTAATTGATACACAGCTTTTATGGCTGTGTATTTACTCTTTATAGCACTTTGGTAGTTTGAGTCTTTCAAGGAATTTTTCCATTTCTGCCAACTTGTCAAATTTATTGGCATAAAATGTTCACATTCCTTTAGTGATACTGGTTAAAACTGGGGTGTTACCACCTTCTCCACTGATGAGCCCTGTAATCTGCCGGCTCACTCGCTCACTCTCTCCAACTCCCTCTCTCCTTCCCTCCCTCTCACCTTATCAGTCTTGATAGACATTTATTAATTTTACTGGTATTTCCAAAGAACCAGCTTGTGGTTTCATTGGTTACTACTTTTATGTTTTCTGGTTCATTGATTAATACTCTGATTTTTTTTTCCGTTTTCTTTAGGTTTTATTGCTCTTCTTTTTCTATTTTCTTAAATTAGAAGGTGAGGCAATTGATTGGAAGCCTTTCTTCTGTATTAATATAGACCTATACTGCTAACTCTTGTCACTTAAATACTGCTATAGTTGCAACCTGCAAATATTCATAGCTTGTATTTTAATTTTCATTCAATTCAAAATACTTTTAATTTTCCTTTTGATTTCTTCTTTGGCACATGTGTTCTTTATGAGTGTTGTGTTTATTTTCCAACTACTTGGACATTTTCTAGGGATTTCCTTTATTTGAAATGAGATTTTTTTTTTTTTTCTTTGAGACGGGGTCTTGTTCTCACTGCAGCCTTGACCTCCTGGGCTCAAGGGATTGATCCTCCAGCCTCAGCCTCCCAAGTAGCTGGGACTACAGGCATGCACCACCACACCAATGCTTTTTTCTGTTTTTGGAAGAGATGGGGTTTTGCCATGTTGCCCAGTCTGGTCTCAAATTCCTGGGCTCAAGCAATCCACCCACTTCAGCCTCTCAAAGTGCTGGGATTACAGGCGTGAGCCGCTGCACCCAGCCTGAAATGGACTTTTTCTGAAATAACTATAACCACTATAGCTTCCTTTCAATTAGTGCTACCACGGTGTATCTTTCTCAGCTTGTTCACTTGTAACCTCTTTGTTCTTTTATATTTAAAGTGGGTATTGTTTAGGCAACATTTAGTGGAGTATTGTATTATTAAACAATCTATTTCTATCTTTTAATTGCACTTATGTTTATACTTATATTTAATAAGATTTTTCACACAACTCAGTTTAAATCTATCAACCTACTATTTATCTTCCATTTGTCCCATCTGTTCCTTTTCTATTTCTTTTTCAGCTTTTGTTTGGATGGAATAATTTATAGAATTCTATTTTCTCTCTTTCACTGGCTTGTTAGTGATAGCTCAGGTGTGTGTGGGAGAGATTACTGGTTGTTTTGGGTGTATAGTCGTCTTTAACATATTAGAGTCCAACTTCAGGTGACCTGTTAGCACTCCATGGACAGCAACAGAAACCTAGAATTGTGCATTTTTATCTCCTTCCCCTGCCTTTGTGCTTTTGTTGTCAGATATCGTGATTCTACATGACATGTGCTTTAGAAGACACTGTGGCCCGGCATGGTGACTCACGCCTGTAATCCCAGCACTTTGGGAGGCCAAGGCAGGTGGATCATGAGGTCAGGAGATAGAGACCATCCTGGCTAAAACAGTGAAACCCCATCTCTACTAAAAATACAAAAAATTAGCAGGGCGTGGTGGCGGCGCCTGTAGTCCCAGCTACTCGGGAGGCTGAGGCAGGAGAATAGTGTGAACCTGGGAGGTGGAGCTTGTAGTGAGCCAAGATCGCACCACTGCACTCCAGCCTGGACGACAGAGTGAGACTCCGTCTCAAAAAAAAAAAAAAAGACAATGTGAATATTTTCAAATAGTCCACTCTATTTTAATGATAATGTGGAAATGTTTTTCTGATTTACCCACACGGTGTGTGAAGACCCAGCTCTCCGCTGGGTAACCCTTCCTTCTGCTGTAGCATTTGTCTAGTGCAGATGTGCTGGCGAGGAGTTCTTTCGGGTTTTGTTATCTGAAAAAGCCTCTCTCACGTCCACTTCTGGAAGCAGCCTTTATGGTGAAGAATTCTACACGGGCAGCGGCTTCCTTCCCGTCCTCCGCAGACACCGCCCAGGGGCCTGGCTTTGGCTTCCCTTCTCCTGTGGTCCTTGTCTTTGATGTTTGGTCTCTGGCTCATTTTATTATTTTTTATATATGTGAACTTTTAAGCAACTTTTTAGTGATGGGCCTTAGTTTATTTCCTTTCTGTTTGTTGTGTTTGCATTTCAGAGAGTTTCATAGACCGTAGGTTTACAGCTTGAATCAAATTCAGACAATTTTCAGCCATAATATTTTTCTCCCCTTTTGAGAGCTGCCACTAGCATCTGTTAGGCTGCTTAAAATCTCCCCAGAGCTGATGGACGCTCTCTACTTTTCTGCTACTGTTTTCAGCCTGTTGGCCCCCGTGATTCATTTTGGCTACTTTACATTGCCAAGTATTCAGGCTCACTAATCTTTTCTTCTGAAATGTTTAATATTTAATCTCATTTGATGTGGTTTTTCCTTCTCAAAAATTATAGATTTTATCTCTGAAAGTTCAATTTGGGCTTTGAAATATCTTTCACGTCTCTAAATGTTCAATTATTCCTCTAGCTTAGTCATAATAGCTTTTTAAAATATTCGTCTCTGTGAATTCCATCGTGGGTGCCATTTCTAGATAAGTGTCAATCGGTTGATTTTTCTCCCCAGGACTTGCCAGTCATCCCTGCTTCTTTATACACCTGTCTGTCTTTATCAGATACTAGGCCTTGTGAATTTACCTCGCTGGATGCTAGATATTTGTGTACTTCTTTGCAAATTTTTTAGCTTTCTTCTGGAATGAAATGAAGGTATTTGGAAACAGCCTGGTTTTTTGTGGTCTTGCTCTTAAGCTCTTTTAGGTGTGACTGCAGAGCAATTAGTTTAGTATTAATGTTTCTCACTATTGAGAGAAAACTTCGTTCTGTCCTATACCAGACGCCCCTGAAGTCTGTGGCTCATCTCTGCTGCGGCTGTGGAGATGGCCCAGTGCATCCCCTGAGGCTGCTCCCTTTAAACTTCTGAGTCCCTCTGTCCCTGGCCCCTGATGTTTTTCTTGTGGAATGTGTCAGCCAGTGCTAAGCTCAGTGCTGGTGTGGACTCTTCCAGATGCCGAGACTCTTCTCCACCCAGCCCTCTGCTCCCCAGCCCTCTGCTCCCCACCCCTCTGCTCCCCAGCTCCCTGCTCCCCAGCAGCTCCCTGCTCCCCACCCCTCTGCTCCCCACCCCTCTGCTCCCCACCCCTCTGCTCCCCAGCTCCCTGCTCCCCAGCCCTCTGCTCCTCCCCAGCTCCCTGCTCCCCAGCTCCCTGCTCCCCAGCTCCCTGCTCCCCAGCTCCCTGCTCCTCACCCCTCTTTCAGATGCTGAGTGCCGCTGGCCTCTCTGGCTCTCACCACCTCCCTCCTGTCCTGGGAACCCCTCCAGGCAGATGCCTGTGGCTTCCATCTTTATCCCCTTGTCTCCCAGGGATCCTTGACATTTGCATCTCATGTGCAGCGTCTCCAGAACTATTGTTTTTTGTGTGTGGTTAGCTGCTTTTTACGTTGTTTTTAAAGTGGGAGAGTAAACCTAGTCCTTGTCACTCTGTCTTTGTCAGACATCCACAGAAGCTTGTTTTCAATGATGTGAAAAAATTCTCACACTTCAGCTAATCGTATCAATGTACACTACATCGCGTTACAGTTATTGCTGTAATATTGGTGTTTTCTTAAATTTTGTCCTTCATTCTAATGAGACTACTTTAAAAATAATTCCTTGGTTAATTAAGATGGAATCGTTTAGAATAAAATGAACCAAACTCAACTTTTCTCAAGAAAGGAATAATTTTTCAGTGTTCCTGGAGATTCCCCAAATTTATGTTTCTAAAGTTATGTTTGTTCCTAAAGCCTTTGAAAGTCACGATGCTTACACATCCCATGAAGCCCCCGGGTGAGGTCACTGGCTGTGCTCTGTGCCTCTGTTTCAGGTGGCACGGCCGCGAGGCAGAGAGGCTTCCTGGGCTGCATTCGGGCACTGCAGGTGAACGGGAGGACCCTGGACCTGGAGGGAAGGGCCAAGGTCACGCCTGGTGTGGAGCCTGGGTGCCCTGGGCACTGCAGCACCTACGGACACTTCTGTCTCCATGGGGGACAGTGCCGTGAGAGGCACCAGGGCTTCTCCTGTGACTGTGAGCTGTCTGCATACACGGGGCCCTTCTGCTCTAGTGGTGAGTGCCAGTGGGGACCGGGGCCAATAGCAGTGTGTGGGCAGTGTGGACATTTAAGATTTAATACACATTTTCTGTGTAGCTACTTCATAAAAGAATCTCAATTCCTAAATTCCCGTGGTAAATCACTGTTTTACAGCCAATCTTTTTGTTAATTAGAAGGAAATGTGACTCTACTGTAAAATTCAGTATTGATCCCGTGGTCTTATTGAAATACTATCTGTGTATTTTATGTTTTCAGATCACGTGTTATTAAAAATCTGCCCCACATGGCCCTTGACTGTTTCAAACCTACTCAGATGACATTATTATTTAAGGTAATACCTTCCAGTGTCACAAGAAGAATGCTTTCCAAAAATATATTTGACAAGTATAATAAATACATTTTCCATTAAATATCAAAACAACTGTAACAGAATCACTTAAACCTCTTGCTCTGGGATTTGTTGATAATCTTGTGACACAATCAAAGTGATAGGATATTTTTCAGCCTCCCTCACCTAAGAAGTTACAAGCCATGCTTTGCCAAGATAGAAGGAGCCTGTTGTAAGATGTGCATGATTCTGGGAACGTTCTGATGCATTTCATGCACCCGTGGGCACGCACAGAAAACACCAGGAAACAAACCCAGCGCTTTCACTCAGGAATCTCTGTGCAGCATCATTCATTGGGCTTTGGAGTATAAGCTTGGATGCCAAATTGGATCAGCTGTTGATTTTCAAAAGAATTAACTGCCTAGAAATAGTGAGAACACAATTATATGTTATACTTCAAGAAAACTCTGTGTTGACAAACCAAGTCATCTCTCACCATTTCAAGACACAGGAGAAATCCATTTGTTCCAAAAAAAACCTCAGATGATGTCAGCACAGGGGCTGGTGGCACAAGCCTCCCCCGCAGAGCCAAGGGCAGCAGAGCAGGTACACATTGGGAAAGGCAGGTCACTAGAAGCAAAGGAACAGCAGAATGAACGAGCCCCCAGTGTCAATGCAATCTCTGCCCAAATCATCGCCTGATCCCCAAGCTCCACAGCCTCAGGAAGACTTTCAAAGGCCACCGGGACAGCAGGGATCCGCGGGAGGCAACCCAGGGGGAAACAGACTCACAGCTGTATCCGGGCATGTGAACCACCCCCCAGGCCAACAGCAGGGCAAAGATGCAGAGGCAGCAAGGGCAGGAAAGAAGGGCATTTGCAGCGAGGCTTCTGCAGTGTCCAGCTTTCAGTGATACACACCAGACATGCGGACAATCAAGAAATTATACTCCACATGCATGGGGAAGATGTGGTTACTGAAAACTGACTCTGAATGGCCCATTTTTCTCACTGTTTCAGCAAAGACACTGAATAGATATTATATATTATTCCAAGAAAATGAAGTTCAGAGAAATAAAGAAAATACACCGTCAATGAATAAGCTGATGTGGAACTCCAACAGAGCAATGGAAACCATTTTAAAAACAGATGGAAATGTAGTAGCTGAAAGATACGATTACTGAAATTGAAGAACCAATTGTGTATTCCTGTGGGCTCAACAGAAGAAAGAATCGGTGAACTTGAAGACAGGGCAATAAGAATCCCCCAACTGAAGACTAGAAAGGAAAGATTCTGAGGGAAAGTGAAGAGAGCCTCGGAGTCTTGTGTGACCACATCAATAATTAAATAATTTAATTCTAAACAATCCATGCGTCAAAGAGCTCGTAAATGAAATTAGAAAATAGTTAAATGGACCAATAATAAAAATACACCACATCAAAATTTGACTGCTAACAGCTACAGCAGTATTTAGAGGAAAATTTATGACTTCAAATTATTCGATTACAAAAGTATGCACGTGTAAGCTTCATAATATAAGTTTCTAATTTAGGAATTTAGAGAAAGAAAACCAAAATAAACCCAAAAAAAGTAAAAGAGAAAAAAGATGGAGTAGACATAATGAAATAGAATACAGACAAAGGAAAACATCCCTGTGATTTAAAGCTGGTTCGTGGAGGAGATCAATAAAATCGATAAATTTCCACGAAGACACTCAGGAAAAAGAAAAAGGGAAAGAGGACACAAATTGCAAATGTCAGGAAAAAAGATATGATGTCAAGGCGGAGGCTACAGACTCCAAAATAACCATGGAGTATCATGGACGGCATCATGACAATAAATGTCACGACTTAGATTAAATGGGCACATTCCTTTAAAAGCACAAATTATAAAACTGACCCACAAAGAATGAATAACTTGTAACCACTAATAATTAAATTTCTAAGTGAAGACCTTCTCAGCATAAAAATCTCAGGTTCAGATAATTAACTATTAATTTCTAGAAATTTTTAAGAAAACAACAATATCAGTCTGACACAAGCTGTTTAAGCATAGAAAGGAGGAGAGGATATGCTCCAGCACCATTTCTAAGCCAACTAAAGATCTGATGCTAAAATCTAATAAAAACTCTACAAGAAACAAAACAAAACAAAAAAAAACCATAGAAATATTCTTCATAAATACTGGCACGAAAATGCTTAACAAAATATTAGCAAAGCAAATCAAATAATGTGAAAAAAATAACACCCCAATCAAGTGGTATTAATATCAGAAGTGCAATGCTGTTTTAATTTTAAAAAATAAGGACAGTCATTATATTAACAGAATAAAAGCTATAAAATAGATAATAATTTCAATATTAGTGGAAAGCACATTTGACAAAGTACAGTATGACAACTAGGAATATAAGGCAAGTTTTCTAACTACATCTAACATCCTTTTACTGAAATGCTTACTGGTGAAAGAAAGAATGGTTTCCCCTAAAACGGAGAAAAAAGCAAAGATCTCTATTCCCACCACATCTTTTCAACATGCTGCAAGTCTTAGCCAGTGCAATAAGACAAGAAAAACAATAAAAAGCCACACATTGGAAAGAAAACATAAAATTCTCTTTAGTCATAGGACATATAATCATCTAAATAGAAAGTCATAAGAAATTTACAAAAACCTACTACAACTAAAAGTCACAGAAAATAATATACAAAAATTAATTGAATTTCTATTACTATTACAACAATGGGACAATTTTCAAAATAAAATTCTATTTAAAATATGGTAAAAAGTATATTTACAGATAAATGGAACAAAATAAGTATAAGACCTCTACAGTGGAAACTGCTAAAATAAATGAACGTCTAAGCAAATGAGGAATATAACGTGTGGATGAACTGGAAGACTTGGTGTTATTACTGTATCATTTCTTCCCAAGCTGATCTATAAACTGAGTGTTCCAAACAAAATTTTAGCCTAATTGTCCAGCTAATTCTAATTTTAAATGGAAATGCATGGGATCATGATTTTGCAAGGCATTTTTTTAAAAAGAGACAGAAGATACATACATGTATATACAGATATAGATATAGACATAGACACAGATATTCAATTGATTCTTCATAAAGTGTTAAGGGCATTCAAAGGGGAAAAGGGGAGTGTTCTAAGCTATGGTTCTGGAACAACAGGATAGCCAAATGGGAAAAATATACATAACGTAACCTTTAACCCATACCACTACAAATATTCACTTGAAATGGGTAGTAGACACAAATGTAAAAGCTAAATTTATAAAAACTCTAGTAGAAAACCAAGGAGAACATAATTGTCACCCTGAGGTAGGAAAGTTTCTTAGAATACAAAAAAAAAAAAACATGAATCATAATGAATTGTATCAAAGTTAATGAGTTTCACTCATTAAAAAACTACTATGATAGAACGATTAAAGTACTCACATAATGGGTATCTACTCAGAATATATGAGTAACTTTTACAATCCTAACTCCACCAGAGAAGAGCTCCAGATGCAAATGGGCACCTGAGCAGTGCTCAGCGTCGTCGTCATGAGGGAAATGCAGGTTAAACCCATATTTAGATAGCACTGCACAAGCACTTGAATGGCTACAATTGTGAAGACTGACACTGTCAAGTATAGGAACTGATGCAGAGGAACTGGAATTCCAATGCACACTTGGTAGGACGGTAAACGTTAGTGACTTTGGAGAACTCCTGGGCAGTTTCTGAAACATCAATGATTCTGCTCTCCGTGATTCTTAAGTGTTCATACAACACAAGTGAAAATGTAGAGGTCCCTGAAGTTGCACACAATGGCGTACGGCAAATTGATTCATCATCTCCAAACCTGGAAGCAACGTGAACATTAGGAGGATTGAAGGAGCGAGCGGATCTGTGCCTGGTCTGGTCAGGTCCTACTCTTCCACAACACGGATCAATGTAAAATCCTCACATTCAGTGAAAGACGTCAGGCAAAAAGAAACAGGGAGCTCCCAGTGTGTGATTCCATTTACATGAAATCCAGAAAATGCCAGTCAGTGTGGAGTCACAGAAAGCAAATCTGTGAGGCCTGGCACGGGCTTCTGGAAGGAGTCACTGCCAAGAGCACAGAGGAGAAACGTGGGGATGTTCTGATACTGGTCGTGGCGGTAATTTCATGGGTGGATACATCTCCTAAATCTCTTCCTATTTTCCTCTACTTCGGTGTGTTTATTGTACTAATTATGTCCCACTAAAGTCAACGAAAAGGTGTTTTGTCCCTTCCACATGAGCACAGATCTCACTTTTTAATGGTTCCATGTCTGCCTCTGTTCAGTGCAATCAGAATGTTTTCATGCTGGCAAACATTACAGGAGAAGTTGACATTGTATTGTGGACAATGAAGAAGTGACCAGTGTGACCTGGGGGTGGGTTTGGGGGAGGTCACTCAATGACTCTGCCCGCCAGGTAGGACCCTGCTGTAGCCAGAGAGATAAGAGCCGGTGCAGTGTTGGAACCACCAGTGCCCTCTTGTCCCCATGTACACACACTGCATCTGGGGTCATGTCACTTAATGCCAAAAACACCCTTTCATGAACTGACATAGGAACAGCTGCATGGCCCTCTGGTGCCTGGATGTGCAGATGACCACTTTCCTCTCCCAAATTCATGGTATTGCCCTCAGCTCACCATGCATTCGAAGAGCTCACCTGTGTGAAAGCCCAAAGGAGAAAGGAAGGAATTGAACCCCCAGAAACTGGTTTCAAGCCAATCCCATAACCTCTATGACTCTTTCAATAAGATATTAGTAAAATTATTGCATAACTTTGTCAATTTATAGGTTACGTCCCATATGTCTTAATGGCTTATCCTGCTCAATTAGGCCTTCAAGATGCCACATCCCCCATTATAGAGAAACTGCTCACTTTCCATGACCACGCTCTTATATTTATTTCCCTAATTAGTTCCCTGGCCCTATATATTATTTCCCCAATACTGACAACAAAACTAACTCATACTAGCACCATAGATGCCCAAGAAATCGAGACTGTATGAACTATTTTACCTGCCATTATCCTAATTTTAATTGCGGGTCGTCAAGTAAGTCAGACTGAAATAACTGGACATTTGTCCCTGGGTCTTTGAAGGGCAAGGGGCCCTCTGAGCTCCTTCCTTTGTCACTCCTGGAGAAGACTGCCACTGCAAAGCGAAGCCTCACATGGAGGGAGATTTAAGGAAGGAAACTGAAGACCCAGCAGGTGATGGCCAGGAAGCCTGGCTTTCGCCTGAAACCAAACAGGAGCGCGTTGAGCTTGAAATGGTAACATTGCCCAGAAGGATAAGCCTATGTGATTTTAACACTGAGACTTAATAAGGACTGTCCTGAAGTCTGCAACGGTCAACTGGGATAGTCATTTCCAAGATATATGAGCATTTGTTAGACCAATTTCTACTCTTCTATTTATTCAAATGTTCTAAAAATAGGTATACTTGCAATGAGCCTTTAGTCTTTAACAACTTAAAATGTGCGTATGATTTCAGAGATTTCTGCGTATTTTGGAACTGGCTCCTCGGTGACTTACAATTTTCAGGAATATCATTCCCCAAGTACGAATGCCAGCTCCCACGCTGCCTCATTCCAGGGAGAGATGACGTTGACCCAAGAGACAATCGCGTTCAGCTTCCGAACAGTGCAAGCCCCGAGCCTGCTGCTTTACGTGGACTCTTTCTACAAGGAGTACCTTTCCGTCATCCTTGCCAAAAACGGTGAGTGTCATTTTGGTGTCAGAAAAGTAAATTATTACAACTGTAATATGACAACATGTTTAATGCCTCTCAAATTACAAATGAGGAAAAAATTGTGTGTTCTCCAAATGTCATTTTGCTTGTATGTGTTTTATTTTGTGGGACTATACAAACATTGTTGCAACAGTGTCATTTCAGTAATTATGTAAGATCCTTCTGTAAAGTTTTTGATAAATTTGCATATCTCATGTAAAGAGAACTCTTATTATCCCTGGAAGGTCTTCATTAGAAGTATAAGGTGTCCGGTTATGTGTGGAAAATATTTTCACCTTCTTCTAAGGAAAGAGGAGAAGAATTGATATGGCGGGAGTCTGGCAAGGCAGGTGTCCTGAGCAGCAGTGTCCTGCCCTGTCCAGGGTCCTGTGGTGGGCCCGGCCCCATCCACTCGACAATGAAAGTACAAAATCACAAGCGTCAACCAGCTCCTGCGTTTCCACGGTGGGAAATAAGGCCCAGCTTTAAGCATCTTAACTGGAATGTCAGGGTGCTGATTTAATATCTGGAGGAACTTACAAAAATGTCTGACTAACAGAATTTTAGTACTTCCCCTGTGGCCATTGGAACACAGGTCTGAATCTCTTGAAGCAGGTAAAGCTGTCAGGAGCTATGGATCCACAGAGACCTTGCCTCCTGGCAAAAACATATCACAGTACTCACATCCCCATGTCCTGGTTACTGATGTGATTTTGGAACTGAAACCTACTGCGTGTCAAACCAACATGCTGCCATTTCAAGTGCAGCCCCGGGGTTCTGGCATCCAAAGTACGTGTGGCTGGAACCTCGAACGCAGTAGGAACATTTCGTCCCCAGGCTGGAAGGAACCTGGAAAGTGGTCGTCTTCTTAACCAGTAAAGAGGCAACGAGGATGGAGTCTAGGCCAGCGTTTAATCCGTGGCCACCACCAGCTGGACTCATCACAGCCCCTCAGGAACTCAGCACCCTCACAGCAACGCATGTTTCAGGGCCGGCTGTGCGTGTCTCTTATTCACCTTTCAGAATCTTGGATGTGCGCATAAAGGAGACGGGAACAGACAAACAGAAAATGACAACGTTTCACAAAGTTGCAACTTCAGCATTCCCTAATATCATGTTCTTTTTGCAAAAGTGGCGTGGGCTTTAGACTCCAGCATGTGTGCGATTCAGGTGTTCACTTTTAGAAAATTAAGCGTTGTAGGAAAGAGAGTTCTTGTTAACAGCAACTTTGCCTTGACCTTAAAATAGCATGATGTGAGCAGCGGTGGCCCCCGGCGGCACCAGGAGGCAACGCCCTTCCGGGGAGAGCGAGGACTGGGAAAACAGGGGCGCATCCCAGCGGAACCCTAAACAGACTCCATCTGCAAAACATTCCTCTGGAAGCACACGAATAGTAACAACTTCTCTGGAGTGAGGAAAGGCAGCTGTAAAAATATCTCGTTGTTTTAAAAATGTTCTATTTTCCCCTTTAGGGAGTTTGCAGATCAGGTACAAGCTGGACACACATCAAGACCCTGATGTCATTAACTTGAATTTCAGGAACATGGCAGATGGGAAACTTTACCACGTGAACATCAGCAGAGAAGACGGGGTGGTCTTTGTCGAGGTAACGGCTCATTCCTGGCATAAGCCCCGCTCGCGGCATCACCTAAGGCAGGATTTTCGTAATGAAGCCCAGTGCTAGTCCCTTTTCTGTTTTATTCTCAGGTGTCATGGGCAAAAAGTCAAAACTGTGTCTGGTATTTTTTATTTTTTAGCAATGGAAATCTACCACTTGCAGTATAAAATTATGCTTATTCACATGTCTGCTTATTTAATTTACTAACTAGGGAAATGCCTGTTTTCTCACGGTAAATTACTAGAAGTTTTTGTTATTGTCGTTGTTGTTGTTTTGTTCCATTTTGTTTTTTGAGATGGAGTCTCGCTCTGTCACCCAGGCTGGAGTGCAGTGGTGCGATCTCAGCTCACTGCAACCTCTGCCTCCTGGGTTCAAGTGATTCTCCTGTCTCAGCCTCCCTTGTAGCTGGGATTACAGGTGTGTGCCACCATGCCCAGCTAATTTTTGTATTTTTAGTAGAGATGGGGTTTTTCTATGTTGGTCAGGCTGGTAGCGAACTCCCGACCTCGTGATCCACCCACCTCAGGCTCCCCAAGTGCTGGGGTTACAGCCGTGAGCCACCGTGCATGGCTGGAAGTTGTGTGTGTGTGTGTGTGTGTGTTTTAAAATAATTCTCCAGTGGGAATCCATGGGTACAAATGTTATAATAATTTAAAGAGACAGCTTATATAGAAAATGATGATGATTCCATTTTTGTTCTAACAAAGTAGAGTTGATTTGCTGCAGAGCGAGTGAAATTGTGCACTGTCAGGATTTTGAAGGGAGTTTTGGCATATTTTCTGTCTACATGGAAAGCATCATTTGGCTTCATATTTCCGGCTTTATTTTGAGATTTGTAAAAGTTCTGGTCTTGAACCCAACACCCTGGGCTTTTGCATCTTTTTGTGGATTCTGTAGATTCCTGGTGGTTTGCATTGTATGGAAATAGCTAGGGCTGTGAAGAAAATGGGAGAGAAGGGGCTGCGGGGAAGGGCATCTGCGAGATGAAAACTGTGGAGCCGGCCGGGCGCGGTGGCTCAAGCCTGTAATCCTAGTATTTTGGGAGGCCGAGACGGGCGGATCACGAGGTCAGGAGATCGAGACCATCCTGGCTAACACGGTGAAACCCCGTCTCTACTAAAAAGTACAAAAAACTAGCCCACGAAGTTGGCGAGCGCCTGTATTCCGCCTACTCGGGAGCTGAGGCAGGAGAATGGCTGAACCCGGGGGCGGAGCTGCAGTGAGCAGAGACCGGCCACTGCACTCCAGCCTGGGGTGACAGAGCGAGACTTATAGGCGGCGCGGGGGGGTGCTCAAGCCTGTAAACCCAGCATCTTGGGAGCCGAGACGGGCGGATCACGAGGTCAGGAGAATCGAGACCATCCTGGTAACACGGCGAAACCCCGTCTCTACTAAAAAAAAAAAAAAAAAAAAAAAAAGAAGACAGACGGACTCCATTCAAAAAAAAAAAAGAAAACTGTGGAGCCGGTGCCCATCAGGGTCCTGAGCTCCCAGGGCAGTTCTGTCTCCACAGGGCACCACAGGCTTTTCATCGGTTTTGCTTTATTATCTTCCTTCACTTCCTGCCTTATCCCTGGTGAATCAGAACATCTGGTGTTTGTTTCTCCCGGGCAGGTGAACCAGAAAACTTGGAGACAAGTGAGTCTGTCATCGGGTACAGCATTCAAAGCCATCAAATCCCTGGTGCTGGGCAGGATTTTAGGCAAGTAGACACCCCCCAACCCCGGGTCACAGGGCTGGTCACCAATGCATGGGCTGGTCACCAATGCACAGGGCTGGCCACCAATGCACAGGGCTGGTCACCAATGCGCACGGGGCTGGCCACCAATGCACGGGGCTGGTCACCAATGCACGGGGCTGGTCACCAATACACAGGGCTGGCCACCAATGCACGGGGCTGGTCACCAATGCACGGGCTGGCCACGAATACACAGGGCTGGTCACCAATGCACAGGCTGGCCACGAATACACAGGGCTGGTCACCAATGCACAGGCTGGCCACGAATACACAGGGCTGGTCACCAATACACAGGGCTGGTCACCAATGCACGGGCTGGTCACCAATACACAGGGCTGGTCACCAATGCACGGGCTGGCCACCAATACACAGGGCTGGCCACCAATACACAGGACTGGCCACCAATGCACGGGCTGGCCACCAGTGCACAGGGCTGGCCACCAATGCACGGGGCTGGCCACCAATGCACGGGGCTGGTCACCCGTACAAGGGGCTGGCCACCAATGCACAGGCTGGTCACCAATGAACGGGGCTGGTCACCAATGCACAGGGCTGGTCACCAATGCACGGGGCTGGCCACCAATGCACAGGGCTGGCCACCAATACAAGGGGCTGGCCACCAATGCACGGGGCTGGCCACCAATACAAGGGGCTGGCCACCAATGCACGGGGCTGGCCACCAATGCACGGGGCTGGTCACCAGTGCACAGGCCGGGCCCTCGTTTCATGTCAGTTACACCACTGGTGTCAGTCAAGGCAGAGATTGTACTTGTGTCTTCATGTGCACACAGTCGTGAGGGGCTGCAGGAGAAATGCTTCCGAGGCGATGGGTGAGGAGCTCCACGCTTCTCTCTCTGGCAGCCAAGCACAAGGGGCTGCAGTGATTTTCTCATACACCAAAGAAAAACAGTGATCAAGGCAGGCATGTAGTTCACAGGTCACAGATCAAACAGTGCAAATTCAGAAACCCTGCCTGGATGACATTTGAGAGGAGAAATTTAGAAACCATGTGTTTGCTGCCCTGAAGTTCAGGCCAGTGGCGCAGGCCCCACTTGGCTTTGCTGGCAAGTGCGGGCATTTCTGAATGACCTGAGTCTCACCACACTGCCAATGACGTGGGGCGTAGTGCAGGACAGGGAGGCGGGGCCATGGCGGGTCACATGCCACAGCTCCCTTCCCGTTTCCACGCCGCACAGTGAAAAGGCCGGCACATTGTTTTAAAGTTTGCTTTTTTAAAAAATGAATGAGCTATAAACATCATGGATACTTACGTATCACTCTGCGGAGGATAGTTTTGAGGCTTGTTTCATACTTCTGGTCTTATGTTGGCACTAGTGTGATACATTTTGTCTAAGACAATAATGTTTTAATCCATTCAGTTATTTGTACCTATATTCTTATTCATTCATATTCTTCCTCAGACATAAGCTGAAAATCCCGAGTGTATGAGGAGACACTTGGGCAGCCGATACAATCTCTGAAAAGCATGATAACGAGGTTTCCAACTCTGTTAATGCCCGTGTATTTTCAAACACCACGTGGGGCACTGAAGCGAGACATTCCCATTCTTCAGTTGGGGACAGTCATGACCTGCCACGCTCCACCAGGTTGCCTTGTTGGGTAGAGGAAAAGTATGTGAAAGGCATTGCTTCTATGTTGCCTAATTGAATATTCAAAGTGGGTCTTATGATGTCACACACACACACAGCTCCGGCCTTTCTATGTTGCCTAATTGAATATTCAAAGTGGGTCTTGTGATGTCACACACACACACAGCTCCGGCCTTTCTATGTTGCCTAATTGAATATTCAAAGTGGGTCTTGTGATGTCACACACACACACACACACCCCTCCGATGACTGCTACAGTGATTAGTTGCTTTCAGGAAAAACATGGAATAACAAAGTTGATGTAAAGTGTTGAATCTGCTTTGAGAACATGCTTTAGAGTTTGATTAAAACTCCGGCCCCTGATAATTTAGTAACAGATACACAGATTGCACACTGAATCCTGTCCGATGATTACAAGTTTTATTCTTAAGCCACACTTGGACACGCAGTGGCCCAACCCTCCCTTGAGAAAATGGCAACAGCAGCACAAACAAAACAGGGGGGGTTGTATTCCATATTGACAGCTCAACTAACTCGATTGATCAGCCAATACCTGCCAGTATCCTGGGTGGTGAGGCCATGTCAGTGGACAAGCAGGCAAGGACCCTCGAGAAGCTCCTGTCCCAGGGGCAGGATCGTGTCACACAGAAGTGAGCGTGGAGCACTGTCCGCAGGGCCGACCATGTGGTGTCGCGAGGGGGTGAGAGGTGAGCTCCCCAAGCCTGGGCGTGTGACCCAAGGACTCAGGAGCAGGAGACCGACCGGCAGGGCTGGAGGGAGCGAGGCGGCCTGACACGGGATGCAGATCACGCAGGCCTTACAGGCATTAAGACCACTATAGGGCCACGGACTTTATTCCTGTTAAATGTGGGGCCACCGAAGGGCAAGGACTTTCATTGTGAGGCTGCCCTGGCGGCCGCAGTGGGATGGGAGCTGCGGAGTCCAGTCAGGGTCCACTTAGTCATCCAGGCAAGGATGATGCCCTTGACCCATGCGTGCAGCAGAGTGAGTGAGAACCTGCCCACGACCTCCCGATGCAGTGGACACAGAGCTCAGGACCACCCCTGATGTGACAGACGCAGAGCCCAGGGACCCCCGATGTGATAGACACAGAGCCCAGGGCCCCCCAATGCAGAGGACACAGAGCCCAGGGCCCCCCAATGCAGAGGACACAGAGCCCAGGGACCCCGGATGTGATGAACATGGAGCCCAGGGCCCCCCGATGCGGTGGACACAGAGCCCAGAGCCCCCTGATGTGGTGGACACGGAGCCCAGGATCCCCCAGTGGGTGGACACGAAGCCCAGGATCCCCCAGTGGGGTGGACACGGAGCCCAGGGCCCTGCCCTCACCAGCAGCAGCCCGGCCATGGGCAGAGCCACCTCTGGAGGTCAGAACTGAGAGGCCTTTCAGTCACGGAGAGCTAAAGCAGGCGTGGAACGAGGCCAAGGTCTGGGCGGGGACACGTCAGGGCATCCCAGGTGTGTACCTGGTGGGGAGATATTTATCACTCTCAGTCCTTTGTGCAGTGAGAAGCAGGGTCCCGTTTACAACTCTGGCTTTGTTGTTTCATCTTGTATGATTTTCATTTTATCTCTAATAATGGCATCTATTTTATTCCATCTTTGAAATTATGGCACAGAAAATTTTTGAAAAGTCCTAAAAAATCAAAAGCCATAGAATTGTCCCAGCCTCCCCTGCTCCCTGGACACTCCAGCTATGGGGCCACTGGGAGGCCTTAGATCCTGCAGTGGGGGCACCTCCAAGAGGAACAGGAGGGCGGCCTCCCCAGAAAGGAACCCAAGCCTGGCAGACGTAGCCCAATTTTGTCCTCTGCCAAGCTCTTCCCTCTGCCCCACACCTGGGAGTCACAGGTGTGTCCCAGCTCTGCACCCACAGGCCAGGCTGCCTTTTCACTGACTAGAGGCGTTCTGGGAATTCGAGAAGAGACTTTCTCCAGGGAGTTGGCTGATCATTCATTGAGACACACATATTGATTAAGTGCTTCTCAGTTCAGTAAATGATGAATGGTGTGGCTTAAACATGAACAAATCCCTGACCTCACAGACGTCACAGTCTAAGCAGTAAGATAAAACACACACACAGCTTCACAAAGGTAAGAAGCATTGCACCTTATTTAAAAAGTTCACAGGAGGATTTCTTAAGAAATACAACTTAGATTCAAATTTCATGTCAAAGTGATGGATGAAACACCTCTGTGAAGTAATGGGCAATATGTTGTGTAACAGACAAAGAAAATGAACCACATATGAGTGTAATGAATGAATGAAAATGCAAGTTTAAAATTAATTTTATATATACCTGTATTCCCTCCGATTAAATGAGTAAAGAACATTAGACTGACTTTGAATGTACTGATATTTTTATGCAAGAGTTTTATATTCACTGGTGTATTATTCAGACTTGAAAATGTAAGCTTGAAGTTAAAGTTGAGCTGTAAATTTTATAGCCTGAGGCAATTGGATTTCATGAAATTTTAAATAAAAATTCATTTACCATACAGCTAGGGCATGGATTTTGACCAAGTTCTAATGACACTTCTCATGTTTTGGTAGTTTTATTTTAAGATGTGTTCTACCATAAGCCTAATAAACCTCCAAACCATTTTGTAAGCCCAATAAAACTCCAGGCTTATGTCCCGGGTTAGAGGGGTGCACGAAGTGCCTCCTCACCTAAGCCTGCTGAGGTCTGCTGAGAAGAGTCGGTCATTTTCAGGGATGTGTTCTACATGGAGGTTGGAGGCCGGCACTCCTTCCTGGGAGCCGTGGTTCGAGCTCCATTTCTTCCCTAGGCTGGCCCTTGCGAGCATCTCCCACATGGATTTCACAGCCAGTGCCCCTGCCAAGGACTCCTGCCCTCCCTCCCAGAGCCTGCAGTGCAGGCTGGGCATGGTGGGGCTGTGGCTGCAGGTGCATGAAGATGTGCCTTGTCCAGCTCCTCACACGGCACAGCTGACATGGTTTGGCTGTGTTCCCATCCAAATCTCATCTTGAATAGTAGCTCCCATGATCCCCATGAAAAGGACCCAGTGGGAAGTAATTGAATCATAGGGGTGGGTTTTCTCATACTGTTCTCATGACAGTGAATAAATCTCATGAGATCTAATGGGTTTATAAAGGGCAGTTCCCCTGCACACTCTCTCTCACCTGCTGCCATGTAAGACCTGCCTTTGCTCCTCCCTTGCCTTCTGCCATGATGGTGAGGCCTCCCCAGCCATGTGGAACTGTGAGTCCATTAGACCTCTCTCTTCTTTATAAATCACCCAGTCTCAGGTATGTCTTTATTAGCAGTGTGAGAACAGACTAGCCCAGGGTCATGGTCCGACTGAAATGCATGTTTGTGTCACCACTTGGGAGGGTCTCAGTCACTGGTGCCTGTTCTGGTTGTCTTCTCTCATTCTGTACAATGGTCACAGAGTGAGCTTCCTTTAAACCTAAACTCTTCCAGCTTTAACTTTCCAGGAATACATGCCTCAAATAGGGATGCTCATAAAGCACCACACCCTGGTTGGGTCCTGCAGCTTCTCCTGAGGCTGAAGAATTCTGTGCCATTAGGACTCTGTTAATTCTGTGAAGGAACAAACATGAGTTCTAATAAATCAACTCTTCTGAAATGAGGGGAACTTCCAAGGTGAAGCGATAAATAGGGTTGAGGTTTGGAGATGAGACCTTGAGGAGGTGGTTAGGTTTCCTGATTGGCCTTAGTGCCCTTTCAGGAAGACAGAGGAGTTCTCCCTTCTTCCTCCTCTGTTCTTGGGCATCTGAGGATACAAGAGGAAGGCTGCCGTCCACACTCCAGGACGGGAGCCCTTGCCAGACACTGAATCTGCCCACATCTCGTTCTCAGACTTCCAGCCTCCAGATCTGTAAGAAATGAATGTATGTTGTTTAAGTCACCTGGTCTGTGTGTTGTGACAGCACCAGGGCTGACTGAGACCCCAATGTATACGGGGTACAGGGGATCCAGGAGACCCAGGTGGCATTCATGGAAATGCCTGAGCACAGCTGATAAATGTGTAAACTCCACATAGAGGAAGCCATACGGATTGTCATGCAGAAACAAAACATTATGAAGATAAAACATCAGACTGACACGAGACATCTCCACAACAGTGGAGGGAATGGCATTATTGTGAAGGAAGGTGGCACGATGAGGACAGAAGGTGGCGTGATGATGACGGAAGGTGGCGTGATGATGAAGATGGTGTGATGACAAAGGAAGATGGCGTGATGCTCCTCAGGGCATCAAGTTTGGGTCCTCAGCCAACAACTGAAACCCCACCACACCCCAGAAGCAAATGTTGGAGAAATTGCTCTGATCAATTAAGCCAAACTGGAGCAGAAATGAACAAGGGAAGATGAGGAGGGGGGACACGCATAAGGAGGGGACCTTTCAGTCCCTGTTGGCGCACACACTTACTTCTCCGTAGTTCAGCCTCAGTGGCTGAGGATACCCGGATACCTGGCTTGGAAATGGGTGTTGTGAGTAGACGCAGGTCCACCGTGTGCTCTGTTCTGTTCCGCACCCAGAAGGCTGAGGGACTGTTGGCTGAACGTCACCAAATTCTAGTTAAATTCTAAAATAGTTAAGGTTCAAAAACACAAACCATAATGTTAGTGTTAGTTCATGAACCAGGCCAATAAATATGTACTAATGTAATTTTTTAACGTGATGTAAATTTAACAGTATAATCCATTATTTTTGTACACAGTATGATTTTATTTTTAGCAGCATAATTATAAATCTAAAATTTAGGAATTTTTTCACAGATTGCTTTATTTCCTTGCTGTTGTTGGTATTCAGTTTATTTGGTGATTAACTGATAATTATTTTTTGGGAGAGGGTAAAGGCTGAAGCTATTGCTCTGGTGTTCAGCCGCTGTCCAGGCACCCTTGTTTTGCACCCGGGTACCCAAGGCCCACGCACGCGCCCCCACGCACGCGCCCCCACGCACGCGCGCCTGCTAACCTCTCCCTCTGTCCCGCAGAGCCCGGCGGCCACGTGGACGCGGAGACTGCACGGGCCGGCGCGCGGGGCTTCTCCGGCTGCCTCTCGGCGCTGCAGTTCCAGCGCGTGGCCCCGCTGAAGGCTGCGCTGCTTCCAGGGCGCTCCGGGCGCGCCTCGGTGCGGGGCCCCGTGGCCAGGTCGAGCTGTGGAGCCGGGGAGGACGCGGCGCGGGAACGCACGCACGCTCGAGCAGGTGGGCACCGCGGGCCCAGACAAGGAGCCCCGGGCGGGGGGCTCAGGTGAGAGGCCGGAGGCCCGGGGAGACGCCGGCGGCTCCTGAAACCTCAGCCTTCTGCTGTCTTGCCCACATATTTTAAAATTGACGGATGATATCCAGTCTCACTGTGGCTGACAGTTTTAAAGTTGAAACGACACAAATTCCAGTTTCCTGAGAATGTCTCACCATTGCCCACCCTGCTTTTCCCCTGCAGAATATCCTGGTCCGGTGGATGAGGGCGAACCCATAGCTGGCGAGACGAGGGGAGACTCCGCAGTGATTGGAGGTGACTGTGCCGCAAGATTGAGACCCACAGGCATTGGGTTTTGTTTATTTGTTTCTTTGTTGTGGGACGGAGTCTCGCTCTGTCACCCAGGCTGGAGTGCAGTGACGCGATCTCGGCTCACTGCAACCTCTGCCTCCTGGGTTCAAGCGATTCTCCTGCCTCAGCCTCTGGAGCAAGTGGGATTACAGGCAGGTGCCACCACGGCCAGCTAATTTTTATATTTTTAGTAGAGACAGGGTTTCACCATGTTGACCAGGCTGGTCTCGAACTGCTGACCTCGTGATCCACCTGCCTCGGCCTCCCAAAGTGCTGGGATTACAGGCGTGGCATTGGTTTTAATCAGACAATTTCAAATAACTTAGATCCCATAAACTCCCATAGTTCATATATTCCTACAGTAAACTTAGCAGCAGAAACCATTCGAGGATGTCCACATCTGTGTGCAGACTGACTCACGTGTGAACAGGTTCAATCACATATTGCTGTGACTCACTATGCCCTGCCCAGGTTATTGGAAAGCAGTCCTGAAGGCATGATGTGGTGCATCCTGTACTCTAAAAGCTATGTGAGTCTCTGCTTGTGAGCGTGCAGTGCATGAGACCTGGGAGACAAACGTGTGTTTTCTTCTGGAAGCTTCCAATTACTCTCGTAAGACTCAGAGAGTAAATGCATAAAACAACGCTACACCCAGCAGATTGCTAGAACTGAAAAGTCAACTAAATGTTAGGATTCTACCTGACCTAGAATCCCTGAAATTGTGATGTTTCCAGTTTACAATAAAGCATAGGCTTGGTGAATGCACAGTGATTTTGCTTTGGCTCTGGGCAGTGCAGTCAGCCTTGTGCGTGCTGGGCACGGTGCCAGCGTGCACATCCTGACTCCGGGGTTCCCTTTTGCTGCCTCAGGTGTGATTGCCGTTGTGATGTTCTTCCTGCTCTGTCTGGCTGCCGTTGCCGTCCGCCTGTATCAGCAGAAGAACTTGTACACACCCAAAGAGGCGCCACCAGAGAGCCACGGCACCAGCAAGGCAGTGCTCCGACGCGAGCTCAGCGTGCAGAACGCAGCGCGGGGGACCCAGAAGGAGCACTTCGTCTGAGCGGGAACGAGGGGCAACACTTCACTGCCGTGACTCGGCGCTTCCCCAGGGCTCTCCATGGCCAGAAATGACCTTTGCAAATGCAACAGGCTTCAAGGCAGTCAGGCTGCACAGACGCCCCCTCGGAGGGCCTGGGGCCTCGTCCCGAAACATTGTCCTTTACCCTCCTTCATGCCCTTCACATCACCGTGAGTTAGACAGCTTCATAATCTGGGTTAGTTTCCCATGCCCTGATGTGATTTTACATGGACGTTTAACCTGCTTAGTGACTGTTGAGTTTTGGAAGGGAAACTTGCTCGAGTTCTGAGTTCTCTGTCACAGTAGGACCTGCAGCTTCACTTGGTCTACACACACAGGCTGCCTATAGTCATTGCTATTGGTTTCCACAGAACCAAGCTTCTTCTTGACTGTGTCTGTTGAATTTTTAGGTCTTCTTGCGAGCCATGGCCAAGGGGCCAAAAATCAACAGCCTGTCTGCCTTGCTGTCTGCTGGCCAATGCAAAGTGTTACTCCTCTGTTGAGATTTTTATTTTTCGGTTTGTTTGCATTGCTTTTGTTTAGTTTTTCCTATTCAAATGTTCGTGATGAATATGGAAATATCTGGTACTAACTGCCAGTCTTCAGCTGTGAAACTGAAAATCCACGTGGAGCAACACTCCGGAGTTAACCGCGCACGCTCTCTGCTCTGTTTTCTTCTAATGTCACCGAGACCAGTACTGATGGTCTGTTCCAGCCTCTCAGCCGTGCCCTGACTCATGCTGACTTCACAAAGGTTTCTGCTTTCTCTTTTTCAAACTAAGGTTGAAGAGCAGTAGAACCACAAATTCTTAATAATGAAATGTATTTTTATTTGCAGCTGCAATACCTGAATGATACATAATAGTAAATTTATTTCCCTAAACTCTTGGGTGATTATGTGGGTTTTCTTTGTAGCGATAAAACGCTCCTGTCTTTTGCTGCGTGTTCACTTGATGCTCCCTGGGGCTCTCATGACTTTCCCTGCTGTCCTGGCACAGGACCGCAGGCAGCTCCACTCCCAAGTGTTTGAAGCGCCTCTGGCTGTGTCGTGCCTCCTTTTCAGAGGTTGGATCTGCTTCGGGCTCGGACCCCGGCGTGCGTTGCTGGCTGTCACAATGCCCTGCGCGTGTTGGAATTTCAGCTGCAATCCTGTGCTCACCAGGAAAATCTCGAAATCCGTGATTCTGGCCTCAGTTCCAGGATGTGGGGGTCCATTTCTCAGACTTTCCAAAACCAGGGTGCAAGGTCTATGCCTTCTTAGTGTGCAAACCAGGAGAACAGCGGGTAGGAGGTTCACCCACTACCCTCTATCCTGCACTTAATTTCAAATCTCTGATCAACGAATCATCACACGGGGCCCCTGTTAAGGTCCCATAAAGCCAGCTCGGTAAAGACCTGTCCTCTGGGTACCCACCCTGTGTGTCCACCTCGAGGACAGGTGGGGAAGCCTGGCCTCCGTCCTCTGGCCACCACCCTGTGTGTCCACCTCGAGGACAGGTGGGGAAGCCTGGCCTCCGTCCTCTGGGCACCACCTGGTGTGTCCACCTCAGGGACAGATGGGGAAGCCTGGCCTCCATCCTCTGGCCATCACCCTGTGTGTCCACATTGGGGACAGGTGGGGAAATCTGGTCTCCTTCCTCTGGCCACCACCCTGTCTGTCCACCTCGGGGAGAGGTGGGGAAGCCTGGTGAACTGTTTCAATTTTTCATGCCCTCATATGGGTTTTCCTTTAGAAATATGCAGAAGTTAAAAATTCCTGAGTAGGTAGTTATTGAAGTTGACGTTTTGTTATTTCTGTCTCAGAATCTCAGGTGACTTGGTCTTGTGACCATCTGGTTCATCGGTAAACTGTCCCTGGGGTAACGCAGTGTCTCTGTAGCTGGCAATTGGCACTGCCCCAAGTTAAAACAAGCAAGACAGAGGTTGAGAAGGCCCCAGGGAGCTTTTATGAAATCAGTAGGGGAAAACTAGTTATTCATCTAACTGTGCCCACATTGAATTGAAGCATTCCCACAGACAATCTTCATTTTCCTTTCTTTGAAAAATATTGTGTTTCCTGTAATATTTTGTGAAAACCTGAAGTGTTGCTTCTCCCGAAGTGTAGGGGCTGATGGACATTTGGAGCCCTCAGGAGCAGTGCACACTGTCACTGGGTAAAGGCCATGGTCATGAAGCCCCACAGGTCTGTGCTGCATTTGTGAGGCTGACTCACTCTACCCCCTCCGGGGCTGCACGGAGGACCCCGTCCTTCTTACCTTCCACAGGCTTCACAGGACCAGATAGCCTCCACAACAGAAGATGGGGATTAAGGAGACGCTCCTATGATGGCATGAAAAATTGAAAAAGTTTTACCATATAAAATGCTTTCAAATACATGTCAGCTGTTTTTGAGCAGAATTCAGGTACTGAGAACTTAAGCTCTCAGTGCCTGAAAATATAATTGTGACAGACACACCAGCAGCAGCCAGAACCCCCATCTTCCTCCCCCAGGTGCAGAGAGGAGAATCCCCCAGGCAGGACCACAGAGGTCCCTGGATCCCCACTGCTCACCAGAGTAAAGCCAGAGTGCTCCTGTGTCCTGGGGGGCTGCAGAGATGGGGCCCTGCTCAGACATGAGAGGTGCAGGGGTGCCTCCTTCCACCCCCTCCTCACCTGCCTCTTTAGCCTGAGTGGCTGGTGAGTGGGTCTTGGATAGTGAACACAGGTTGTCAGATAAAACCGTTTCAATCCTAGTGCTTATTCCAGGTCCGTACCTGGAGAAACACTGACACAATGTCCTGTCACCTGACGTGCAATCACTGATCTAGAATGTGCATTTTCTTTTACACCAACTTTATCAGCACTGTCTTTGGGAATTGTGAAGTACCTCCAAAAATCCCCTCCTTCATGAAAGCAATTAGAACACTAAAAAAAAGTAATACAAATTAACTTTTTTCAGAATTCTGGAAAGTAAGCAAGGCCTGCAACAATGTGTGGAGTGTTTAAGAACGGAGTTTCAATCACAAAATCTTACCTAGACGAGACAAGATGACTTCCCTGTGAATTCTATCAAACATTTAAAGAAGAAATGGCTCTGATCCTTCACAGATTCTTTTAAAAAATAGAAAAGGAGGTAAAACTTTGCAACTCATTTTGTGAGGCCAGTGTTATCCTGACAGAAATAATAGAAAAGAACATTACGAGAGAAAAAACTGCAGACCCAAATAATACTGATGAATCTGTGTGTGATATGAATAAGTACTGTGTCTATATAATACATCCACGAAAATCCTTCACAGAATTCTAGCAAACCAAAGTCAGCAGCACACACACACCGTGACCACATGGTTTGCCTCAGGAATGTAAGGTCGTCTCAACGTACAAAAATAAATCAGTATATATACCATGTTTATAAGACAAAGAACAAAAAGTACACGACCACCTCAGTGGAAACAGAAAAATAATTTGACAAAATTTAAAAATTTTTCATGAAAATCCCAAGGCTGTAGGAATGTAAGGAAAATACCTAACCTGCTGAAAGGCAGTCCATAAAACACATGAACCCACGGTGAACCTCATACCTGATTCGGATTGAGAATCCCTTATCCAAAATGCTTGAGACCAGAAGAGTTTCAGATTTGGGTATTTTTCAGATTGTGGAATATTTGCATTATACTAACCAACGGAGTACCCCAAATCTGAAAATCCAAAATGTGAAATGCTCCAATGAGCATCTCCTTTAAGGGTCGGCTTTGGGAGCACTTGTTTTCAGATGACCTTAAGAGTACTAATTAGGATCCTTTTTTGTGTAAGGAAGTATTTCTTGATAGTTCATGCTAAAAAAGCCAAAAGCATGTCTACAGATTTCATATTTTATTTGGTAGAGAAAGGCCTCACTGTACAAAGGCAGACTTAAAAGGATTTGAACATAAGGAGAAAAATCTGATTCTACTGCTTTTCTTCTCAGATTTGGGTTGCTCAACCCGTCATTAAAAGTTGACAGCTTTCCCCTAACATCAGGGAGAAGACAGGGTGTCCACTCCAATCACTTCTGTTCATCATTGTGCTGGACGTCCCAGCCGTGGCGATCAAGCAATAAAAGCCAGTCAAAGACGCCGAGGCTGGGAAGGAAGCAGCAGCACTCCATCTACTCACAGATGACATCATCTTGAATACACAAAATCCTAAGAAATCCACAAAAATTATATAGCGCTAATAAAAAAGCAACTCTTAGGCCAAGCTTGCAGTATGAAAAATACAGAAACCAATTTTATTCCTCTCCACAGCAGTGAACTCTGACATGAAATTCAGAAACAATCCATATGGAAAAGCATCAGAATAATATCATACTTAGGTATGAATTTAACAAAAGCAGTACAAGACTGGTATACCTAATTGTACAAAACATCCTTGAAAGAAATCAAAGAAGACTTAAATGGAAAGACATCCATGTTTATGGATGGAGACAAGATACTAAGAAGGCATTACACTCCAAGATGACCTATAGATTCTGCAGAATTCCTATCGAATTACAGTGCCTCCTACTTCCTCTGTTTTTATTTTGCAGAAATTAACAAGCACATGGGAATTAAACTAAAATGTGCATGGGGTACGTAAGGGATCTGGAACGACCAGAGTATGTTGAATTCTTCTTGATTTCAAAACCTACGAAAACTACAGTCATCAAGACAGTGTATTTCTGGCATAAGGATAGAATCAATGAAACAGAATTGAGATCCCAGAAATAAACGCATACAACCATAGTTGACTGACTTTTGACAAGGGTGCCAAGGCTGTTCAATGGGGAAACAGCAGTCTTTTCAACAAATAGTGCTGAGAGAACTGGACACCCACATGCCCAAAAATGAGGCCGAGCCCTTACACCGCAGACAAAACCAAAAATGAATCAAAGAGCTAACAGAGGGGCTAAAACCATAGAACTCTGAAGAAAACACATTCTTAACCTTGAATTTGACAATGCCTTCTTAGATGACACAAAAAACACAAGAGACAAAATTAGAAAAATTGGACTTTGTCAAAATGTAAAAGTTTGCACTCAACAGGACACTATCAGTGAAGTGAAAAGAGCTCACAGAATGAGCTAAAATATTTGGAATCCCATATTGACTAATACGTTGGTGTGATGACATGCAAACAACACTTAAAATTCAACAATCAAATGACCCATAGTGCAATTAAAAAATAAAGAGTTTGAATAGACATTTCCCCAAAAGAAGATAATCAGATGGCTAATAAGCACAAGAAAAAATACTCAAAATTATTAGTCATTAGGAAAATGCAAATCAGAGCCACAATGAGGGGTTGCTTCCTCGCTTGGATGACTATAACCAAAACCACGGAAATAACGAGTGTTGGCAAGCATGTGGAGAACCTGGAACTGTCATGCATTACAGGTGAGAATTTAAAAGGGTCCAGCCAGTTTGGAAAATAATTTGGCAGTTCTTCAAAAAGTTAAAGTTACCAGATGACTCAACAATTCAAGTCCTAGGTACGTACCCCAGAGAACTGAAACCATATGCCCACACTAAAAACAGCAGTATTATTTATGTATTAAATGGTGGAAATAATTCATATGTCTGTCAATTGGATAAACAAAATGTGGTATACCCTTCTGATAGAATATTACTGAGCCTTACAAGGAGTGAATTACTGAGACATTCTGCAATATGGATTAACCTTAAAACTACTTGACATGAAAGAAGCCAGATACAAAAGGAGACTCTCTGAGTTCATTTACGTGGAATTCCCAGAACAGACAAAACTCATGGAGATAGAAATTGGTCAGTGGTTGCCGGGGAACGGGGTAAGAGGGCCGGGCATTTACTGCCCATGGGTATGGGTTTTATTCTGGGTGAGTGAGGAAAACGCCCTGGACTCAGATCCTGGTGATGGTTTCGCAACTTTGTGAATGTGCTGGATGCCTCCGAATTGTGTGCCACAGAAAGG